TCTGTAATGGAATACATTTTAAAAGTAACCTTCCCAACACTGCTTGCTATGACTTCAGACATAAACGAAGCCAGAAAACTAAATACCAGTGATGCTCGGAGGATTAGTGAAGTTAGGCTGATCTGCTACAAGAGATTTCGTTAGGCTTAAATAAGCACATTGTCTGTATTCCTTCAGTGGGACAAATAGCTTCAGAACAGTAAAAGATTTGATATTGTGTGATACCGTCACAGTGCTATGAGCGAGCTTTCCTGGTTTTTCAACAACCTCAGCATCTGGCTGTGTGCTTCGGAGCCACCCTGCAGTTTTTGTAAATTGCACTGCAGCCGTTTTTGATGCAGGGCGGCGATTGTTGCACTTGGAAACACTTAATGTTCTAATACGTCTATGAGCTGATTAATTTAGAGCCTTCGCTCGAGATCTGTGTTGATGCAGCTGGAGTGCGAGTGATCGAGTTTCCCCTCAAACCAATGATAATAAAGCATTATAGAGAGTTATGTGTTTGTTTGTTGTCTGGTCTCCCGGCACGTCCACACCATCACACATCCATAACAAACTCTGAGGTTATTTCTCCTCATTTTAATTCTTTAAACTGAGTCTAAAAGTGTGGGTTTTCTCTCTCCTGAGCCGTGGCTTTGTCTTTTCTTGCAGCGATTTCAGACGCTTCTTTAAATAATCACGACTCCGGCTGCCGTCATCAAACTTTAAACTGAAGCCATTTGGTTCAACACAGTGCATTCTGCATACATATTTTAATTTCACAGAGGAAATTAGACCTCTCTTTCAAAGACATCATTATAATGTAGATGGCTTTGGTCTGAGGCAGAGCTCAGATGATTTCAGCTTAAGAAATTCATGCTTCTGTGACTTGTGCTTTAATTTACCAGCATGCTTTTAGTATTTATAATCATTTCATGTCATGTGATGATGTGAATGAGTCAGTGCTGCTTCAATAATCATTTACAGACAGTTTTTAAAGAAGGGCATCTGCAGCACACTGTAGCTCCCCCTATTTCACTTATATAAAAAAGCATTTTAACCTGCGTTATTTTGAATGGTCAGCAGGGGGCTGTATAGAAGAAATACCTCAGAGTTTATGGTCCCAGTCTTTAGTTTTAAGTTTAACAGAATAAAACAGCACCCCCTAAAGCATACTGAGCTTTATCATCCATCTGAATACTAATAATGAGCACAATTTACAAAATGAGCATCATATTACATTAAATAAGACCTGGAGCTACCATTTAATACCACAATCCCATCATGAACATGTTTACTGAATACACAAGTCAAGTGTGAAGTGGGTAATTTTCCCACAGACCTCTATAGAATAAGAACCAGAGGTGCCGCCCCCTGCTGGTCACTAGAAAAAATGCAGGTTTATAGATCCATGTGATCAAACCCTGATTCTTCATGAGCGCTGAGCTCGTCTGACCGACTGGGGTGTCTCCTCGTTTGAAGCTGTGTAACATTTCACTGGCTCAGCTCTGCGATTGTCTCACCTGCTGCTGCAGCCTCAGCCAGCGGGCAAACAGCGAGCGCCTGCAGAGCCGCGATGGCGTCCCTGAGTCCTTCCTCCTCCCTGTGGAGGTGCTGATTTCCTCCCAGCCTCCGTCACCGCAGCTCCAGTTCACGCTGACGTTGGGAGGCTTCCCTGCTGGCCGGGCGTCCCTGCTGCTCAAACCTGCGTGGCAAACATGGAAACACATACCTGTAGAAGTTTCCTCCTGAAAACGCTGATTTTTTTGTAAATTTGATGCACCCACTATCCAACCTGGACGCATATCATACAAACAAAGCTCAACTGGATTTTCTTTTGTTGCTGGAATTGCGAATATCTTGATTTGCATATTTAATTTTAATCTGCTCCCTCTGATTGAGGTGCACAGAGTTTATTTCAGGCTGTGTTCCTCTTGATTGTTGAGTAGACAGGCTGGTTCTTACATTTCTGACAACAGGCTTCAGACGTCTCTAAAACATCAGGCTAAGACTTGTTTGTTACATAAGTACAATATAAAATGTTACATTTATTGGCATCTGGTCAAATTTAATTTACTCCATACGTTCAAATTTTGGATAAGTGGAAGTAGATGGATGGATGGTACACGTTCAGTTTAAACCAAGCACAATTTCCCTAAAGATTTCAAATTCATATTTCAAATATTATGATGTCAGCAGAGGTGAAATCCCTAATATGGTCATCTCAGACATGAACCTGTGGTTCCCATTAAACATCAGACTGGACTGAAGCCCAGACAAATAAGGATTATTTTGACCTGTGAATCATGCCAAGCTACCCTAGAGTCAAAAAATGAAAATACTGAAGAGTGAATGAGCATCACAAGACTCTGCTAACCTGTGTTTTTCTTAATATGACAACCTTTGATTGGTGATGGCATTTCAGATTTTAGTGCCTCTTATTGCTCATGGTAACTACTCGGCTTTTGTACTTTTCGTAGCATATTTAGTGCTATTAAGGACCCAGACGCCTTAACGCCCACTCACATCCTGGGCCATCTGACCTCAGGAATTCGCATGATAAGGTGGGGCCAGGTTTCACAACGAGCTCACCCGAAACTCTGGCTGATTGGGACCCACGCCCATTTTCAAACCTTGGCTCAGGCGATTAGAGGATCATCAGGGGGTCCTTTTGTCCCTCTGTGGGGGAAAACTCCCACTAGGTTTAAATCTCGGACTCTCCACCATTTGACCTTAGAACTGAAGAAGCTTCTTGGATGAGAGGTGAAACGTCTTCAAGCAACTTAAAGAAGTCCAGACGCTTTTCTTTGCAAGCTCCTTTGACTACGATGACCTGGATGACCGAGAACCTTCACAGACCTATTAAGAACCCACTTCTGCACAACTTCAGGACCTCCCCTAAGTGTCACAAGACCTGAGCTGTGGTTTCTGGCTCATTCATCATCATTTAAACTTACAGCCGAGCAGCAGCTGCTGTCGTCTGTAGGGGAAGGGGAGGTGTTTGATGGGCGCGAGGCGGCGTGCCATAGCTCTACCCAGGTGACCCGTGTGGCTGAGCGTGCCCACTGTTAGGCTCTGGAGGTAAACCGGCTCCACCAGGTGAGACAGGAGAGCCCCTTGGAGGCCCACAACGCTCCACCTGCAGAGGTAACCACACCACTGTGTTGGTGACACAAGTGAAAGCCCAGCAGTAAAGAAACATAATGAATAAACTACACTGAGCCTTTAATATAACTCACTTTGCCAGTTTGTCTGTACATGACATGGTAACGAGAGGTTTGCTCGGTGACAAGCCATCCCATTTCTGATTGGCTCTCCGTGCCGTGATGGGCAGCGTCCCCTCACCTCCCTTTACCTTCACCCTGAGGTGGCAGCGAAATCTCCTGCTGGGATCTGACACAAGAAGAAAGTATTTTACAGAAGCATCATCTCTGCTAAAGAAAAACATTTACAAAAGGTCCAAATCGTTAGTTTCAAATCACGCAGTTTTTACTTCCTGTGTCATGAGCTTGTCCCACATGCAAGACAGAAAAGCAGGGAGGATTAAAGGAGGGCGAGCTGTTTATTGTGGGCTGGAGGCTGGTTAAGAACAAAATAGGAAAACAAAAACCTGGAAAACACACTAGTGCTAAACCATGGGGGCAGGGAAACACCAGGGCAGGGAGAACTGAGAAAGGACAAGGGGAGACAGGGGCTGTGTCCCAATTCAGGGTCTGCAGCCTTAAAGGCCGCATTTTAAAGCCGATTACGTCACAG